CCAAATCCGTAAGACCTCCGTTCATCTTCGGAACACAAATTAAGATATTTTTGATGAATTCTGAGAGCTCTCTAACCCTCCCATAGACAGCAATGTAATTACCACGATCAACGTCCAGAAATGTAGCAAGGAGATCGGTAAAATAATCCATGTGACATCAGGAGTTCAACCGTAATATTACGAAGCTATGAGAATACTTTTTGTTCGCAAAAGAAAAAAAAAAAAATGACTTTATTCAACAATTCGTCTCCTCCGCGTCACCCTGGTGCCATTTTGGAGAATATCCACTGAACGCAAACAGCGTATGTTTTTCTATGTCAGCCACGCCACACGGATACGCTGTTTTTGTTCAAATCAAAGCACAAACAACGTAGAAAACGTATCCACGTGGCGCAGCTGACACAGAACAGCATACGCTGTTTGCGTTCAGTGGATGCTCTCCAAAATGGCGCTAGAGGGTGACGCGGAGGAGACGAATTGTTGAATAAAGTCGTAATTTTATTTTTCTTTTGCGAACAAAAAGTATTCTCATAGCTTCGTAATATTACGGTTGAACCACTGATGTCACATGGATTATTTTACCGATCTCCTTGCTATGTTTCTGGACGTTGATCGTGGTAGTACCCTTGCTGTCTATGGGAGGGTCAGAGAGCTGTCAAGATTCCATCAAAAATATCTTAATTTGTGTTCCGAAGATTAACAGAGGTCTTACAGGTTTGGAACGACATGAGGGTCAGTAATTAATGACAGAATTGTCATTTTTGGGTGAACTATCCCTTTAAGTCTTCATATTAGAATATGTAGTAAGAAAACCTACATTGTCCTATGCCCTTACTTCTATAGGGTTGGGCCATTTTTTAAATTCTATTATTGAATTTGAATGTAATGTTTTGCCACAATTTTATTTAAAAAAATTTGAGGAATCGCAGTTTTGAGTAAAATGTTACAATTAGACATTGATAATATGCCAATGATAACAGCTAAGAGAAAAAAAAAACTCATCCGACCACATGACGATGCACCTGATTAACCAGGCTCTGTAACGTAAAACATATCACTAAGTGGCTGTTCACATAGAATGTGTTATTGCATTGAAAAACATGAGACGCAGGCAGTGGAAAAAAATGCAAGGTTAAGAGATGCGAGTTGAACTTTTAACATGAAACGCTGCGAAAGATGCGAGTGAATCTCTAGATTTTGGCTAAGACATATTTAGCAATTTTCTTATTTTATATTATTTCTGAACATGTAGGATATGTTTAAAAAATCTTTGCCTTCAAATTTCGTGTACCTTTTCTGAAACGATATTTAACAAAGAGAATGTTACTTGAATCATGTTGTAATTGCATTTTTAAGTTGCCTAGTTAAATGGTAATAAATCGAAATCGTTATCTTGAATCGAACAAACGTTTTGAAAAAAAGATCAAGATTAAATTTTTTGCCATATCGCCCAGTTCTAAACAGATTTATTACATAAACCTTGTATTTATTATTATACACATCTGTCATTTCTCTTTGTAGTTTTTTTTTTTTGTTATCCACTGAGCGCAGACAGAGATAAACTACTTGGCTTGGAGTTCCGAAGCACAGCAACAACTGAAAGACCAAAGTGCATCTGGTTTGACTTATGCTTACTTCTGAGCAGGAGAGTGAGGAACCACCTCATGGACGTAGATCCCGCTGCTGACATCAGGGAAATCAGGATTCTGCTGCCTCAGCTCTTCCACCAGTCTAGAGGAGACAGACAGAATGCCTCACATGCACACAATGACTAAACAGCACAGCGGTGTTCATTTACATGTGTTGTGTATAAGTGTCTGTAGTGAAGTACACTCACGCTTCTGTGATGGTGAGCATTCGGATTCCAATGAAACGCTTCTTCACTGCTCTTGTCTCTGAAACAATATGTAAATGTGTTACATTTAATCGTGCAAGAATGACTCTCAAAAAATAAAACATACTTTTAATATTAGATGATTCATACTCTGATCTCCTCTACAAATTCCCTTGTACAGTACATAAACTGCCCTGTGTACCTTTGTTTTGCTTTCCCAATGAATCATTTAAGAAGCGAGTAATCCTGTCTGAAGGAATGGCAAAGGAGATTCCTGCAGCTACCTTCAGGGTGTTGATTCCTATCACCTCTCCATCCTTATAGAAGACACATTATGAAGAAATATTAAATACAGTATCAGTATGTCTGAGTATTAAAAGGAGACCTAAAAATTAAAATACTGTCATTTGTCATTGTATTGTACCCATGTTCCAAACCTGTATGTCTTTCCTTCTTTTATGAAACAAAAGGTGAATTTTCGAGCAGCAGACAGACATTTAATATTCAAATGACTCAAAATTAACCTTTTGTGTTTCATGCAGATTTGTAAATACATGAGGGAGAATACATTTTTCAAATTGAATTATTCCATTAAGTCTAATGTCAGAGAAAATTGACACACGTCACAGTATGAAATAATTACCAAATTAACGAGTGGTCCACCTGAGTTCCCATACTGAGAAAAGAAAAAAAAAAGTTAATTATTGGTGCTCAAACTATTTTACACATGTTATCAATATAGGATTAGATTTATGCCAAAAGTACTGAACATAAGTGTTGAAGCATTGAACAAAAATAAAAATCCAAAACTTAAAATGAAATAAAAATCTCAGACTTCAAACAAACAGCGTCCACTCTAAAACTTAACAGGAACCCTCCGTCAGAATTGCATGTGAAATAATAATAAATGTTAATTATTGGAGCTTAAACACTTTTACATACCTTATCTAAATGGGATTAGATTTGTACCAAAAGTACTGAACATACATTTTTAAGCATTGAAGAAAAACATCAATTCAAATCCAGGGATGGATTGGTAATCTAGCATCACAATCTATCACAATGCGCCATTGACAGAGCAATGAAGTATCCTGCTCCGCCTACAGTGTATAAATATCGCTTCACCCCTCCCCACTTCTTCTCTATCTCTCAAAATGAACAGACCAAAGCGCAAAGTGGTGCTGAAAATCTCCAGGATAAGAAGCTTAAAAATTTGGAGGCAGATGCACTGCAGTAGCCTCTGCAAGTTTCTGCAGCAGCATAATCAAGTAAAAGAGCAGGTGAGCCAGGAAGTACAAGCTTGTTCTGTTGTCGATGACGAGGCTCAAAGGGACAGGCAGGATGAGGGGATAAGGGTAGCTGAATCAGTTAGGAGTAACAGTGACTCGCAGGGAGTAAAAAGGGAGGTAACCTGTCCTAATGTGTGTGTGCCATAAAGATGATGACTGTTAATTAAATTACACCAAAGTAATTACTCAGTCAATGCAACAGAAGCTGTTTGGTGTTGTTTTTTTAGGTAGCCTACTGGTTAGTTTCCTCAAACAGTCACAACTTTGATGGATTATTATAACACATTAATCAATGTTGCATTGTAAACATTAAGATACATTCATTATCAATATTTGGATATTTGGATTTGATATGATCCTGTATAAACTGAATATTTAATAGGTTATCAAATAAATTAGAACAGCTCCATGCATTAAATGTTGAAAAAACAACTCTACTCATTACCAGTATGGTATTGTTTAAATTGTACAGATTTTAGCAAGCCTTTGTCAGTTAAATACCTCGATTAATCATCTCAAGCCTGGTTATAGAAGTGAAGGAGAGAGTGGAGGATCAGGGAGTACTGGGTGATGTCTGACTGGACTGGACTTAAACAGGTGTGCACAGTAGGTACACACTGCTAAACACACACAATGTGTGTGTATTATGAACGACAGTGTATATATATATGGGTGTTGTCCGACTGAACCGATTTTAGATTGTAGTGGTGGGCCGCCTGGACCAAAAAAATGCAGGGATGATTTTTTTTTTGCCCCAGTCCAGCCCTGTTCAAAACTGATGAAAACCAACTGACAGAATTGCAAATGAAAACTAAAAAAAAAAAAAAGGCAGCAAATATGTAAAAACTCTAGTAATGCTATCATAAAGTCTGATGATCAATAAGGAAGCTACATAACCATTAACAAAATAGGTTTTGACTTTTTTGTTTTAAAGTTGTTCTTTACAATTTATATTTTTGTTCAATAACTAAACAGTTATGTTCAATCCATAAGCATTACTTCAGAAATGAAGTTCAGAGCTTGTCTTGATTTCTTATGCAACAGCCAGTGAGACTCATAACATGTGTTATTCTGTGTCTTACGTTGATGATGGCGTCAGTCTGGATGTAGTCCATGTCTGAGTCACGGAGACCCAGTTCTTTCCCATCTCTCTGTGCAGTGCTGACTATTCCTGTCGTCACGGTGTTCTGCAGGGCAAACGGGCTGCCGATAGCAACCACAAACTCACCCGGGCGCAGGTCTGCCGAGTGACCCAGCAATAAAATGGGCAACTTTTTCTGCAAAGGGGTTGTAGGAAGTATTTAAGAAAACACATTTTGACTTCTGTATTATAAAGTCAGGTCTTACAGTGCAATAAAAACAGGTGTAGTCTTACCTGCGAGTTGATTTTGATAGTGGCAATGTCAGATTTCTTGTCAATGTCTTTGATAGTGGCCTCATACACATCCCCATCACGCATCTGTACTTTGAGTCGCTGATGACCCGAAACAGGTGTGGTGCTGGACACCACATGAGCATTAGTCACGATCAGCCCAGTCTCTGACATTACAAAACCTGAACCACTTGATAGCGGAACCGTCCGGCCAAAGAGGGGGTGGCTAGTGGGCAAAAGCCAAAATATAAAGTTCCCATTATTTAGTTTCAAACATTTGCATTGAACATTTAGAGTGATTCAAAAGATCATTTTTTTGGTATAACTTATTCCCTTGTGAAAAAGAAGCACACTTAAGCATACTTTCAAAAAGAATACTTGGAAATAATATACTTTAGAATATACTTTGCAAGTGCAAATGGAATATAAAGTTTTCAGACCGTTAACTGCATTATTAACTGCAATTCAATTAAAATGTATTATAGTTTAACTTTATATGAAATGCAATTAACTGAGCTTAAGAGCACTTTTTTAAAGTAGGACTTAAGTACATCTTTCTTTATAATTTCATAATTACTTCTATTGTATTTGAAAAATGGTTAAAGTTACTCTTGCAATGTAAATATACCTTAGTGTATTTGTAATAAAGAAGTTGCAATTAAGAACATTTAAAATGTATTAACTTTAAATGTAATATTAAAATAGTACACTTCATGTGTAATCAAGTACTTTACATGTGATTTAGAATGTGAACACATCAAAGTAAGTGCACTTCTTTAAAACATGACAAAAGCTTATTAAAACAATTGTTTAAAATGTACTTTAAAGTAAAACTTTTAATTGTCATTCTGATATGACAGTAAGTGTGTTAAGAAACAATCATGGAAGTGTTCTCTTTTTAAGTACACATACTGTAAGTAGCCTTTTATTCCCTTAATATTACATTATCTGCAAGTGCAGTTTTTTAAAATATGGTTTGTTTGTTTTTTAGATTTGAAGTACTCTACTAGTGCATGTTCAATGCGATTAAGCACACTTTTTTTCAGAAGGGTTTATTGTATTTCAAAACATTAATTCACCACAAATGTATAGCCTATGTTTCTATAAAGATATAAGCAAGCCTATATAAAACAATTGTTTACCCAGTTTCTCCATGCCACACTCTCTGACATCATTCACAAACGAACAGCCTTGGCGAAAGCAGTTGTGCATGTGTTCAGCTAATTTACAGACAAGCAGTGACCCTCACACAGCTGTGTTTGCCAAGCACCTTTCTCACTTCCCCACAGTTTTAAAGCCCCGTACAGACGGCTGCCACACCATGAAGGTGTTTGCAAGTGTTTGGGCTTACTTTAGGAACAGCTCAATGTGTACCACAGCAGGGGCGATCTTCTCCACCACGTCAGCAATGAAGTTGAATTTGTTCCTTGGGCTGCTGGGGTGTGTGGGACCTATACTAGCAAAAATAATTACTCATGTTAATAATTCCACTCTATAAAATCAAATCAAAACCAGCACCATGTTTTCTTCTGTAATTGCTACTGTCTTTTTATAAACCCAAATAGTCTTTTTTGGCATGCAGTGTTTAAATACTTTCCTTCAGATTCAGATGGTATGCAATGATGATAGTTGGAGAAAGTCTTTTCACACACAGGAAATGTTCCTCTATAATTGGGTCTAAAATCACTAGGTGGCTTTTATCCTTGCGCATGCTTGACTTGTGCTGGGTATGCAGTATGTGTATGAAAGAGAATGATGAAAGTGTGTTCAGTGTGTACAGTCCTAGTAATTAGGCCATGTTATTTTCTGCAAACATCAGGGTGGTTTTCCCCTTGACTGCTGTTTCCTGTGACCGTGTTGGCACAGCCATCATTCCTTTGTGTGCACACCCTGATTGTCCTACTAACTTAAAATTTGAAGTCATTAAAGAATCAAGACCCTTTAGTTTAGTACTAGTTTAGTACAGTTTGTTTAGTACAGTTTTGTCTAGGCCGTAATTTAGAGATAGGCTGCAGTCTATATAGAGGTTAGAATGCAAGCCCCAGAAATGTGTTAAATACAGAAACAATAATGGAAAATTACCTAAAATTGTTAAAAGTTTGGAGACTTTATTTTAATTTTTTACTCTTATGCTCAAAAGGCTGCATTTATTTGATCAAGCATACAATAAAAAAACGTAATATTATGATATATTATTATTGCAATTTAAAATAAGTGTTTAATAGTTTTATTTTATTTTTTTAAATGCAAATGATTTCTGTGATGCCAAAGCTGAATTTTCAGCAGCCATTATTTCAGTCTTCAGTGTCTCGAGATCCTTCAGAAATCATTCTAATATGCTGATTTGGTTCTCAAGAAACATTTCTGATTTTTATCAGTGCTAAAAACAGTTGTGCTGGTTAATTTATTTATTTTTTTTTTTTGGAAACTGTGATCCATTTTTTTCAGGATTCCTTAATGAAGAGAGTTTACAAGAACAGCATTTATTTGAAATAGAAATCTTTTGTAAAATTAAAAATGTATTTGCTGTCATATTAAATCATTTTAATATGTCCTTGCTGAATAAAAAAATATGCATACATTTACAACACTGTACTCTGTATTATATTACCTTTGAATCAGAATACAAAAAACTAGTTAATGCTATTGCGAGGGTGTTTCTACAGCGTCTGCGAGTGACGTAAATTTGACAGTTCTCTCTTCTGACTGCCGTTATCAGTATCTCTCTCATTTTTTTCTTCTTTTTATAAGTCGTGAAAATACTATTGTGATTTTTTCTTTTGCTATTTGAGCAAATGGGGATGCAAAAAAACATGTTAAGGTGTTAAATTAGGATTGTTTATGTGGGGCAGAGAGAATTTATAGGGGAGAATATAAATACAAAATATTAAGAGTTGAACAGTCTTTTCATTGGGAAAATTAAACGAATTGAGTTATATCCAACAGCATTAAGACACAGTTCAAAAGTAGAAAACGGCCTTATTGAACATGCAAATTGATTCTCTGCCAGTAGGAGGCGCTTTTGGAACGGTTTCCCTCGTAACAGCTGTACACAAAAGCTGCGCAGCTCTCATAAATGCTACTTTATCAGGCAGTATTCAGGCATTATAATTTGACATTGAACGATGAAAATGACATTGAACATTTGAGAAACGCCCCCTTTTTGGTCCGCAGAGACCTATACTTGGATTTGTCATTGTGTTTTCTGACTTGGTATTTTGTTTTCAGATTTGTCGTTGTGTTTTCTGACTTTTGGATTTGTCGTTGTGTTTTCTGACTTGGTATTTTGTTTTCGGATTTGTCGTTGTGTTTTCTGACATTTTGTTTTCGGATTTGTCGTTGTGTTTTCTGACTTGGTATTTTGTTTTCGGATTTGTCGTTGTGTTTTCTGACATTTTGTTTTCGGATTTGTCGTTGTGTTTTCTGACTTGGTATTTTGTTTTCAGATTTGTCGTTGTGTTTTCTGACTTGGTATTTTGTTTTCAGATTTGTCGTTGTTTTTTCTGAATTGCTATTTTGTTTTTTAGATTTGCATTTGCGTTTGTAATTTGTTATTTTGTTTTCAGAATTGTGATTTGTTTTGCACTTCTCGGTCACCATAGTTTACTCCCTCTTCCTGTCACCACTGAAAGAACTTTTTACTGCCGATCTGGAAGCAGTTTGAGATTTCCTTTAAAAATGATAAAGGATAGGGTGTTGGTAATAAGGTCTTGTCCAAAATCAGAGCAAAATGGCAACCTCCACTGAGAACCCCACAGGAAATCATACTCGGTCTGCAGAGAACAAAGCAGCCCTATTTTCCAAACTTCTCTGCAGCTGCCATTTGCACGTTAAGTTTGAGGTCACAGTTCCATTTTTCAAAATACTCATGATGGTTCATCTGGTTATCAGTGGAGTTATGATATGTGATGGTCGCTAGAGGAGCCCAAGGGTGTTATCTTCTGAATGCAATATGACACATGAAACACCGTGGACTCACAGTATGTGTGCTTGTCTTTTTGTGTGTCTATTAGGTGAAAATAAAACCTGAACTCAACTAAGCTAGATAATAAAACTATTGTGTTTTGTAGATCTGCCTATTCATAACTGATGAACTTTGCAACACTAACATAGCTATTGAACTTATTTGAATGAACACTGAACTGGTCTGAACTGAATAATGACACTATTGTCATCTGTAGAGGTGATTTGTGACCCTGGAGCACAGAACCAGTCTTAAGTCGCTGGGGTATATTTGTAGCAATAGCCAAAAATAAATTGTATGGGTCAAAATTATTGATATTTCTTTTATGCCAAAAATCATTAGGATATTAAGTAAAGATCATGTTCCATTAAGATATTTTGTAAATTTCCTACCATAAATATATCAAAACTTAATTTTTGATTAGTAATATGCATTGCTAAGAACTTCATTTGGACAGCTTTAAAGGCGCTTTCTCAATATTTAGATTTTTTTGCACCCTCAGATTCCAGATTTTCAAATAGTTGTATCTCTGCCAAATATTGTCCTTTCCTAACAAACCATACATCAATGGAAAGCTTATTTGTTCAGCTTTCAGATGATGTACAAATCTCAATTTCGAAAAATTGACACTTAAAGACTGGTTTTGTGGTCCAGGGTCACATTTATAACTGAATTTAATATGTTTTATAATTGATGAATTTTGCAACATTGACACTGTTATTGGATGTACTTGAATCAACAATGAATCGACTCGAACTGAATAATGACACATAGTTCATCAAACAAATTCTTGTGCAGAGTTGCTTTACAGCTGAACTGAAATTGTTTGATGAACTTTGCATCATTAACACTGTTATTTTCCTGCTTTATACTGTGATGTTTCTTTGAAACAATCTGGATTTTATAAAGTGCGCTACATAAATAAATGTGACTTTATTTGAACTTGACAATACCTCAGTATGCCCTGAAAGGTAAAAATGTTTCACAGATAAAATTTAAGAAAATTAAATGTAAGTAAATAATATTTTTCCCATTTTAAAAATTCAGGGTGAGACTATTCTGTAGTAAGTATAATTAGCTTTATATAAAAAAAATATAAAAATGATTTTAAAAATTGTATTCATTTTTTTTTTTAATTTATAAAACCGGATTTTTACAAATATATTTCTTCTGAATTTTATAAATCAAACAAAGAATATCCTTCAATGGTAATACATTGCATTGTGCCATCTAAAAAGAAATAATAATAGACTATATAAAAGTAACATGGCTGTGGTAACAGGGTTGAAATTTTCAGATCAGTTCAGAACTAGCTGAACTGTGCTCAAGGGCATGACACTACATAGTGTTCACACACTGTGTTAATGTGGGACAGCACCTTTTGTGAAATGACCCAGAAACATATGGTATGTCCCCATTTAAATTGCTAAGGTTTGTGTGTGTGCGTGTGAATGGTGTAGGCTTGTATTTACTAAATGATGAAAACAGTATTTGACATTCTAGAAGCTGATGAAGAGATTTTAATCTAATGTCATCTTTCCCTTACAAACATCCCATCCTTCCACCACCACACTTCCATTATTAGGTCTTACTATTACTGTACTGGTGATAACTTTTGCTACACCACTATAAATAACTCACAAACAAACAAATAAATATTCCTGCACAGATTAAAGCAGGCCTGTATTCATTTAATTAATAATTATGATTTTATAGCACAGTTATTTAATTATAGTAGGCCTAGATACTGTTTAGACCTATTTAATTATTACAATTTCAGCATAAATTGATACATAAATAATTTTTGATATATATTCATTACTGCAGCATGCCTTCCTCTTGCTATACACAAATCACTTACCTTGATTGCTTTTACAGGGTCCTTTGTGCAGGTTGGTGACCGCGGGCAGACCCTGCTGCGGCGCTTTCCTGCTCACGGCCTTCAGCTGGCAGATGTTACCGTACGTGTTCCCGTCACTGCCGCACACTTTACTGCTGTACCTGCACTGACACATGCCTTTGGACAGTCTTTTTCCAGACGGGTGCTTGCATTCCAGCCCGTCCCCGCAGGGAAGATCGTCCTTGCGGCCGCACGGCTCGCCCTCTCCCTGCGCGCACACCAGACAGCAGTTACAGCGGTCCGGCACATACCCGCTCGGGCAGCTCGGGCTCGGACACTTACTCACATCACAGCGCTCCGGACACTTGAGTTTAGTATCCGCGAAAGCATTTTTGATGCAAAGAAAAACGACCGAGACAAACAGAATGACCTGCATTTTTTTGGTTTAAAATGAAAACGAATTCTCAGACAGTTCTTGGATAGTCAGTGTCCTCTGGAGATCACCATTACGCATGAGATTTCCAATGCAAAAGCGTCTTTCAGATGAAATGTGTGCGTTCCTGCAGGCTCCGTCGAAAGACCAGTGTGAAAAGGTTGTCCCAGGAGGAATATTGCTTATCTAAGCCAATCTGATCTATTGATGCGTGCAAATGCCGATGATTTCTCGTGCAACTTATTAAAACAATGTAGCCTATGTAAAGCCTCTCGATGTATGGTGGAGTTTCATGTGCAGACCATCTCAACATCCTCGAGTGAAGTCTGCTTTTCTCTTCTCTCCAGAGGAGGCGGGGAATTTCGTTTACCTCAAAACGCTTGGGAAGTTCGACTCATTTCCGCGAATCGGTTCTTTCGAATATTTCGTTTCAGAGAACCGGTTCAAAAATCATATTCGGCTGCTTTACGCGGCTTTTTCGCCTTAACTTACGTTTCATTAATAAAGACGTTCATTGTAATTTCATGTGTCTTAATTTCAGATTTGTTCTACCTTGACTCGGCTCATAAAAACTGTTTTTAAAGTTATAGCTATATGCACTAGTTTGCAACTTAATTACAAATGTGCAAACGCAACTATATTTAAATACATGACATACAAATATAGAATAGAATTTCAATTGAAATTACATTTGAGTATATTTTAGTTTACCATAAACTTGTCAGTAGATTCTGCAGTATACATAACCATATTCCATTATGACAACAGAAATAATTATGAAATTAGAAACATGTACTTAAGTGGGTCAAAAACACTTGAACTTAAGTTCACCTAATTGTGTTTAATATAAATTTAAACGATAATACATTTTAAAGGCACAATGTGTAATTTTCGCCGCTGGAGGGCGCCTATTCAAAATAAACAAAGTAGTTTGATGACGCTGTGACTGAGTGTGGAATCATGGGAGTTGTGGTCTTCATCCCCACAGCCGATGGCAGAAATCATGTTCATGGATGAGCCAATGATTTGTTAACGTAGTAGAATGAAGCAGGGTGAGGCTGAAAGCTGTTGAAGCGAAACGAGGCAGCTGAATGAGCGTGACACACGGCTCGAAAGCAGCGGAGCTTTTATTATGCCACAGTCAACCGCTTCCGCTCCTTCCGGTCGTACGTATATGGGAAAAAAGCAGCGTTGTTTTATCATACTAGATACATTTGAAAGTTCTGTTATAATGCTACGCTGTGTGGTCGTCACTGGTCTAATAAAACGCACAACATATTAAAGCATCTTTGGTGTTTCCATGTTTTCTACAAAACAAAATTGGAAATCGAGGGGTTATTACGTCATTGGCAGGCGACACAATGACACTATGGACACGGTCCGTGTCACTAGTTAAAATTGCTTATTTCTCTGGATTTAAACATTCTTCGAAACATTTGGGAAAATGTAAGCACACAAGTCAGCAAAATATTGTTCTAGTGGTTTTTGGATATTTTAATAAAAAAAATCGTACATATTGTGCCTTTAATTTAATTGTAATTAACATGCAGTTAAGTGTCCGAAAATATTACATTTAGTTACATTCAGTATTCGAACATCATTTCAAATTCAAACATCATAATTTCAGCTTACTCCAGTGCACTTGATCCCCTATTTGATCTGAACTGAGTTATAATAAACTGCTTGGATACCAACAGATCTATTTTTAGGATGAAAAACAAAAGAGCAGAACTGTGATTGTAGGATCTTGACAAGGGCTCAGTAGTACTCAAGGTTTGTATTGTTTTAAAGTACCTTAATAAGTTATATTGTAAACAATTAATTATTAAATCCACTTTTTATTGGTGACCAGGGGAACATACAGTAAGTCTCTTTGTAGCACATACATTTGTGGTGGATTTGTTTTCACTGAACTGGGAGGGTTTGGACCAAGTCATGAATTTCACCAGGCATGAACAAGTTTATTTAAAACTCCTGTTATTCTCTGCACTTAAGTACAAACAGAACAGCCCTTGTGGAGGTAAAAATGTGCTCACTGACATCACTTGCATGTCAACCAAAGGTAACAGGATTTTACAGAATGGAAAACTAGACAAATTCTACAGATTTTTAGATAAAAAAAAAAAAAATCAATTTTAGAAAATTATTTTCTAAAAAATAGAAATAAAGAGGGAAAATGTTATCTGTCTATTGGTTATTTACAACAAGTGGACAGTGCCTTAACATTGTATTGCTTACACTCCAGTAAACACTTGTTGGACCAATCAACATGTCTCATGAGTCAGACATTCCGTAACTCAATAATACACATAACATCCAGCAAATAAAAAGCAAGCATGGGAAATTCACACACAAGTCAAATCAAAAGAAGGCAGTGGAAGTTTCATATCCCATTCAAGTCCAGTTCTATCTTGTTGCCCCAGTTATTGTGCTTTTGTAATGGGCTGTGGTCCTGAAGCTGTAGTCTGGTGCCAGGTTGATACGACGAATATGGAGATCATTAGCGAAAACTCTCGCTCGCTGGTAGAAGAACAGCGAGAGTTCACGGTCCATGAGAAAGTTGTGATAGATGGTGGCCAACCGAGTACACAGCTCTAGCTGAGACCTCTTGTTGCCCAGATCCATAGCAGCAGCCAAGGCCAGGTGATAATAGCCAGCAGCATCAAATGGGTCCTGGGATACAGAGGAAGAGAAGATTTACAATATCAGTCCTGTTGTTCGATTAAGAGATTAAAATATTAGTCGCTATTGTTATTAGGAGATTCAAATATTAGTCATATTGTTCTATTGAGAGATTAAAATTAGTCGCATTTTTTTTATTAAGAGATTAAAATATTAGTCGTTATTGTTTTTAAGAGATTAACATATTAGTCCTATTCTTCTATTAAGACATTCAAATATTAGTTGCTATAGTTATTAAGAGATTAAAACATTAGTCCTATTGTTCCATTAAGAGATTAAAGTATTAGTCACTATTGAGTTTAGCGCTGTGTGCTTTTCATTTTGAAATATCATGGTTATCGGAAATACCGGTATATTACGACACCCCTAATTAAAACGATAATATTTCATTTTTTAAAATCACACGATTATCGTCAATACCATACCCCTAATGGATACCATAGCTTCTGCACTGCATCTAGCAGCTGTGTATGGAAACACCCTAAGCATCTTAGCCAGAGTCCAAAATTAAAACTCACCAAACGCCAAATGTTAGTAAAACACAAGCAATGGTGAGTATATATATAAAACGGTGATACTTGACATGCAGTTGGCCGATAACTGGCTGCTGAATAAGTGAAGCGCTGCACTGTGTTCATTTATATGTGAGCAGCTCATGATCTAGTGTTTTCAGAGTCTCAGAGCAGCTGAATGCTGCTCCACATGAACTCCATATATGCTGTGAATTTAGGTTGCTTCGCTTGTTACTTGCATTTAAAATGCAAAATATGACAACCATCTTCTCAACTTTGTAATGAGAATCATTTACCTGCTGTCAACAAAAGATAAACTTTTCCAAGTTTTCCACCAAAATAAAAGCTCTATAATTTAACATTTGAAAGCAAAGTTAAGACATCCTTGAATAATGAATGTGAATATATATATGAATATTTATTATTGAATAGAAATGTAATTTAAATTATTTTAATAATAACAATAATAATAATAATTATATTCATATTGAACGAGAAAAAAACAGGTTTTTGTTATTTTTTGTCATTAGCTGATCACATGCCTAGATAGAGCGTGTGCTTTATATAATTAAATATAAATATATTTTCATTCTGAACATGAGTAAGCTTCTGTTCTGTACTTTGAGTGATGTGAATGAGGTGTGAATAAATGATCATTTACTGAGTATGTAGACTGCCATCTTCTGGTTAATTAAGAACTGCAACACATCCACTGGCTTACCTTTACATCATAGAAGATGATGTCTCCAAGTGTTTTGTAAACCCGGACATAGTACAGGGCTTCCTCGTCGTACTGCAGGGGTGAGGGGCACAGGGACAGGGCTTTCAGAAAGTGGTGCTCTGCCATTTCAAACTGACCCAGACAATGGTACAATGTAGCGAGTCTATGGAATGCCACCCGCTCATTTAAATGGTCAGCTGTAAGAAAATACACAGATAAAGGGAAAGACTGTTATCTGTCTTTAAAGGTTTTTAACTGTGTAATGTCATGAACATGAGTTTACCATGTGTGCTTTATTCTCAAAACAGACCAAATATTTGAAAGGAAGCCACAATCTGTGAAGGCTTATAAATCAGTATAATACAATGAATAATTGGGATACCCCAGCAACTTAAGACTGGTTTTGTGCTCCAGGGTCACATATTATACTGTACAGATTAGTGATGCCTTAAAAACAAACATACACTATCATTCAAAAGTTTGCTGATGGTGACATTTTTCAAAGTTTTTGAAAAAAAGTGCCTTATGCTCACCAAGGCTGCATTTATTTGATCAAAACTATAGTAAAAACAGTAATACTGTGAAATAACTAGTTTGAAATAACTGTTTTCCAACTGAATATATTTTACAATGCAATTTATTCCTCTGATGACAAAGCTGAATTTTTCAGCAGCCATTACGTGAGTCTTCAGTGTCACATGATCCTTTAGAAATCATCTTTGATAAATATCAAGTTCAAAACAGCATTTATTTGAAAAAGAAAACATTAAATGTCATTTTTGATCATTTTAATACATCCTTAATATATAAAATAAATACAAAATCTTACTGAGCCCAAATTTTTGAACAGTAGAGTAACAGAGTGTGCTTGAGTTTGTGCACGTTAACCTACCCAGACTCATGCTAATGTCTAATGCAGTTTGAGCATACTCAATGGCCTCTGAACACTGTCCCAGCTGCAGCAGAAGCTCTGAAAGCTTATTACAGAGCCTAAGCTGAGAGCGCACACTGCTCGTCTTTACGGCAATGGGAAGGGCTCGGTCCTTATGAACACACAGATACAAACATTCTTAGCACACTGACAAACAAACTGAAGCATTATGATCGTGATTAATGTGTGCATGACCTACCCTGTAAAAGCAGATGGCTTTCTCCCTGTCGTGTGAACTGTTGAAGAACACATCTCCAGCTGCCTCCAGCATCTCCAGAGTGAAGAGTGTGTCTCCTGTGCTCAAAGCCATGTCCTGGGCTACCTGTTAGATAAAGAACGGGCCTATAATTCACCTCTAAAGAAAAGGTAAAGCAAATGTCCAGCAACATCATATTTGAAATGCAATTCCGGGATGGCATGCTGTCAAATTCTTTTTTCCTACAAGTCCCTAGTATATATAAACAATAATAAAACAAGAATATT